TAAATTGCTCTTCATAATTCATCCTTTCATACCTCATCCAAAAAGGTTAGAAATAGTCGATATTTCACCTTGAAATAAAAATTTGATTTTTCGTCGAAAAGAAACTCATGCGGTGTAACTTCAAGTGTCGTTTTACAATCACAGGCCGCAGTGTATTATATAAATCATAATATGTTTACTAAATTTTGGGACAATCTTATGATACATCATATTCATAACAGAATGTTATATTAGAATTAAAAACTCTTTGTATTTTCTGAAGAACGAAGTCAAAGGATTTTATATATCAGACGATTAAACTGTGCATTGTGCATTTCTAATATTTAAATGTTTCTAAATACACAAAGATAACAAATAAGACTCAACTTTATATAATTTATTCCAAAAAAGAAGGAAAAGAAATTAGATTAAGTTTCAAAACTGCTCTTCATTTCGATTTATCTTTTTTCTTCATATCTTAAATGTATTTACTTAGCTTCTATACCTTTAGCCAATTCCGTGCTTCAAATGTACATCATTGTTTTCCCTCCAGGTTTTCCAAATTAACTTTTTAAACTTTTTTTTTTTGTTTTCTGGAAGCAAATTTCCACCAATCATGCCAAACATTATGATGAGGGCATTATGCACGCCCTCGAAAACTCACTAAAGATTTTTTTTTCCTTTTGAGCTCTTTGTTAAAACACGTTTTATTCAGATGGCCTTTTATCAACAAGGGGGGGGGGGGGGGGCGGGAAATAGATGCTTTGATTGCGTAACGGTCTTTTTGTATAGTACAATAGTCGGCACGTATGCAAATCTCACTCCTCCCAAGAAGGAGTTTGTGAATGATTTATGTCTTTTAATATTCAACGCACACATAACTCAGGGAGGCGGTCTCCCCATGGCACGTGTCTCTTACGTCATAGCCCTCAAGTTCTGATTGACAGAGATTAAAGCAATTACCAAAGCGTAGAGCGGCCCCCACCCCACCACCCCTCGCTAATAAAACCATGATCTCATATCTGTGAAATTTGACGCGATGAAAATACCAATTCATAAAGCTCCCATGAATCAAGAATGATTAATTCTCATTTCTGGTAATTTTGAAAATGTAAAATAGAGCGTTTGAGTCGCACGTTTATTTTTGAATCCTTTTCTTTCTCTCTCTCGCTCTTCATTCATTCCTCTCTTTATCCATATATTTATCATTATATAATCTTATGTATTCATATTCATATTTATTTTGTATTTAACCTTATATAATCTTATATGGACTTTGTAATAAATCAGTTTCAATCTTTCTCTCTCTCTCTGAAAGAACTCTCGCAGTCAATCAGTGGCGGAGTCTTTCTCGCTGTGGGCGCCACCAATGAAGACCTTGTATATATATTTATATATATATATTATGATTAGAATTTTTTTGTGTGTTTGATTGTTAAAAAGAGGTCCAGTCGTAAAAATTAAAGATAATTATTTACCTTTCAAGTAGATTTTATTTTGAATTACTTGAAGTAAATTACACATAAAATTATTTATCACTGCAATATAGAATTTATAGAATGAATTCTATAATCGTGATTTTAAAAGATAGGTAGGGTTAACTATACATTATTTACAACAACAATAATTAAAGTGGTATGTTGTGAATCTATGGTCAAAAATATATAACAGTCAATGAATGAAAATAAAATATATGTTTTTTAAAAAAAATAAAATATTTGTATTTTAGATTATCTATATTAATATAATATATATATGTATATTTATAATCGATTTTATCTATTTATTTATATATTTATCATTATTAATCTTATTTATTCATTTTATGTATTTAACCTTATATAATCTTATATGGACATTGTAATAAATCAATTTCAATCTCAATCTCTCTATACTTTGTTCAAGGTAGTTTGTATGTATTGCATCTCTATCCCATTTTTAGGTTTTTTTCTTCTAAAATCCCATTCATTCCATTCCTAATGATTTAGAAACATTTATAATCAATGCTAAATCAATATCAATAGCATTCCATGACACAAAGAGTGAATTTTCAAAACGTAGAGAAAACAAAAGATAAAAATGTTGTAGAAAATGATTATTGCTTTTAAACAAAAAATAAAAAAAAAAATCGAACCTGTATTACGTATTTTATCCAAGTGTTGGACAATCTCTTTCCATCGACTAATAACAGAAAATCTTTTTTTTTTTTTCTAATAACAAAAAGTCATTTTAAGTCATCAGAAACCAATACATCAAAAACAAAACTAAGCTCAGAGTTTTTAATCATTTTTTTCCTCTTCTAATAAAAACAATTCCGTAGATCACACAAAACAAAAACAGTTTCAATCAGGTTCAACCAAGAAAACGGACAATCCCTCCCCATTGTAACCAAAGA